AACTGCCTCTCTGCGTTGAAGAAACTTTCATTCGTAGTTGCTTACAAATAAAAAGATATTACAGCAAAGTCATAGAAGAGATTGCAAACAGCTTCTCCAAGCCATCTAGCAATTGGGCAAGAGGAGAAAAACAAAATGCAGTTTAGCAGAGGATTTTTTTTTTTTTTAAATGACTTTGTTGCTGTCCAGCTCCAAACTGACTCTGGAGAGCAAACAAAATTAAAATAAACAAGACAAAAGCCCAATAATGAAAATAAAAATGTATTTTCTTATAAAGAAAATAAAGAAGTTGGGAAATCTGGGCAGCCAAGTCCGTGATACATGCAACAGACGTCAAACATATCTAACAAGGGTTCCACTCACTCTACCCCAAGGCCATCAGGGTCAGCATTTCGGAGGGGACCCTGTTCTGGAAGGCAGAGGCTGCAGAAGAGGAGGAGTGCTTCCCAGGTTGCGAAAGATGATGGTTTTTAACTGAGGGGACTTGCAGCACCCTGATTCTATCAGCTTGTACCCGATCAGCAGAAATTACAGGAGATAAAGTGGACCCTTAAACAAATAGGCCCATGTGGCAACTAGTGCAGCTTGTATTCTTCATTCTGAAGCATGTAAAAAAAAAAGTCAAACTACAGAAATATGTTTGCAAATGTTTACTTCAGTTATAAAGTTTAGCTCTATTTAATGAGACTTACTCCGAAGAAAGATTACATTGAATTTGAAGCTTTTTTTTTGCATGTCTCTATACACTAGGTCTCCCCAGGTAGTACCTTTTGAGTAAGGCTGATTTCAACTCCTATCATTTCCAGCAGATCTATGTGTTCTGTACTTCTTGAAATGCAAAGACTAATTGCATGCATAGTAGCTATTTTTAAAGAAAACTAAGGATAATTTGAATGCTGCCCAGGACTTTATATTTATGTGGCTATTACTTCTGATCAAGTACAGTTTGAGGTTTTATAACAATAAAGATGTACATACAGTACATTCAATACAGTACAATAGAAGACTAAATAAGTGTATTAACTTACATACCTAATTTATAGATTAACAAACTCATGGCAGTTTCAAGCATTAAAAAAAACCATCAAATAGAAATAAATTATCCCAAATATAAAGCTATATCCTAGTGTCTGAAATATGGACATCAAAGGCACTACAAAATGTTTGAGCTTTCTTTACTGCTTTCTAGAATGAAATTTGGGATCTAAGCAGCATCTTGTTTCATACATGTGGGCATAACACAAAACCCAGTGTACTCTACCCACCCACGCTTCCTCCAGGCTTCTTAGCATCTCCTTGTAACTGGATCACACCAGACAGCATGGTTGTCCCTGAAGAGGCAGTAGTCAAGCAGATACCTAAGCCATAACTTTAAAGAGAGTCTCTACTATCTCCATCCCTTCCTTCTTCTCTGTAATCCCAGCCTACTCAGATATAAAAAACGAACCAGTGTGAAAAAAGTCCCTGAACTGATAGACTTCAGGAGATGAGAATTCAAAGGCCTTCAACCATACTCATCCTGAGCATTACAAAATATTTCACATTTGTTGCATCACATTTTGATTCCTTATCACATATAATATGCTGCTGGAAACAACTGAGTGTATAATTCCCAAATCCATTTGAATGCCCCCATCACTTATAACTGTTTGTTTTCATTCTCTGTCTTTCATCCGCTTTTTTTTTTCTGTTCTTGTTCTGAATCCAAACAAACAATCTTTGTGGAGAATTTCTGTCTTCCTTGCATGTCCTTTGTGTCTGGTCTACTAAAGAATCTACTAAAGACATCTTTAAAAAGTACATTTAAACGTCACTTCCTCCCTTTGTCTACTCAAAACTGATTGAGAATATCGGAAACATGGTTGTTTTGTTTTAATTCAAGTGGAAAAAATCAGATGAATCAAAGTGCTTCCTATAGAGCTAAGGCATTTCAAGTGAGAAAAAAATACATTGGAAGAGTCATAACAAGCTAGGTTTGGGGTACATTCCAGCATTATTCTGTTAATCATTATTGCCATCCTAGAAGCAATAATAATTTTTGGACTTATTCCAGACACATTTTCCATGAAAGGAACAACGTGCCGGCTGAACATAAGAAAAAGATTCATAGCATTAACACTCCAACAAATTATTTGATTTCTAAAGAAATCTCCTTTGGGGCAAAATGAACCCATTGCAGCACAAATTCATTTTCTATGACACATAGCTATGTAACTATCATGTCTTCTTAATCAATGTTGCAGCCAGTTCTTGCCAATACCTATCCTCTTATCATTTTTTTCTACTACTTCTCATGTAATTTGTTGAAAGTGAATTTGCTTTAGAATTATTTTGTGAAAATAAAGAGAATTTCAGCAAGTACTTATAGGGTAGTGCTCTTTTCAGCTAGTCAAAGATGAGTGTATATATCTTGTTTCTCACTGTGCCACTGGAGGCTCTGATGCTTCTAGGTTTTTTATATTTCAGTTCTATTGCAAGGGAAAAATTCCCTTCTTTTTTTAGATGGTGCATCATGAGAAGTCAGGAAAAAACTAATAATAACAGGCAACACTATCACTATACAGGTCAACCTGTATTGATGTTTTGCTCTTGGCCTTAAAAATAGCATCTTTAGTTGGTGTACACTTGTAGTAAATCTTTCATCAAATCATGAATTCATCTCAGGCTTCATCTACCTAAGCAGATTTACTCTGCAGACAGTACCCAAATATATCACCAAAAAGAGAGACTGCTCATAGGCAATCCAAGTCAATTTCCAGGAGCTGTCTACAGTTGGGAGATTTGAGGCACACACCCCTTCCCCCAAATCTTAACAAACCCAGGTTGCTCCTTAAATATCAGCAGCTTCTGACTACCGCTTAGGCCTGGTTTCCTTCAGCAAATTACCTATCAGGAGTCCTGCAAAGTCTAGTAGTCTCTAGTGTAGTCCAGCACTCTTCTTCCTCTTGTCTTTGGATCATTAGGTCTTCTTAAGTCTTAGTTCTTCTTGCTGAAGGTTGGGGGGAAAGGTTCGTGGTGTAGATCAGAATCAGCTGGATCCCAGTGCATGTATGCATATTGTTACAGTCTGCTGAATCAATGGCAGGGACAACAGGCCTGCTTCCTGGTTTGTATAATGTGGCAGTGCAGCGTCCAAATTCTTGCAGTGAATCTTTCTGTTTCTCTTCTTCATCAGAGGAGATCCCTTGAGATCAGCCCATTAGACATTAAAAGAGATTGCCACCATATTAGAAAGAAAGGAAAGTAAGAAGAGGTTGACCTATCTAAGTCATCTATTAGGTCTTGCCAGAATCACAGAAATTGCAAAACCATTTGCCAAAGCTGCACCAATATGACTCAGAGGAATTTTTTTGGTAATGTCTTTGGCTTATGCTGTATTGGATTTTGTTTCTATTTTAATCCTGTTTTATGTGTATGTGTGTATGGGGGGGTGTTGTATGCATGTATAATATATATTGATGTTTCCTATGGGTTGCAATAGCATAATAGTTTGCAAAGAAGTACAAGTGATCAGATCTAATTTGCAGAAATCTCAATCAAATACAGATACAGATTAACAGAGTTGAAAGGGACCTTGTAGGTCATCTAGTCCAACCTTCCCACCCAAACAGGAGACCCTACACCATTTTTGACAGATGGCAGTCCAATCTCTTCTTGAAAACTGTTGATGAAGCTCCCACAACTTCTGAAGGCAAGTGGTTCCATTAGTTGATCTCACTGTCAGAAAATTTCTCGTTATTTCTAGGTTGGATCTCTACGTGCTCAGTTTCCATCCATTATTCCTTGTCTGGCCTTCAGGTGCTTTGGAAAAAAATTTGATCTCCTCCTCTCTGTGGCAGCCCCTCAAATATTGGAATACCGCTATCATGTCTCCCCTGGTCCTTCTCTTCACTAGACTAGCCATGCCGAGTTCCTGCAACCGTTCATCGAAGGTTTTAGCTTCCAGTCCCCTAATCATCCTGGTTGCCCTTCTCTGCACTTTTTCTAGAGTCTCAACATCTTTTTTATATGTGGTGACCAAAACTGGATGCAGTACTCTCGGTGTGGTTTTACTAAGGCTTTATAGAATGGTATTAGTACCTCCCTTGATCTTGATTGTATCCCTCTGATAGGTAGTGAAGAGTTTGTTTCCTCTATGCCTTTACTGTCCTCTAAGCGTCAGTCAGATGTATGCAATCTATATATGTAAGCTGTAACAAATGTAGGAATCAAACACAATATAGAATGGAAGATTTGTAAAATAGTATTGAATTAAAGATCTTAGTATGAGAACATTTAGCACAGTTTCAAGGTGACAAATGCAAGCCAAAATAAAGTGACATTGTTGCACTCTTAGTTTTTTTAATCAGAATATTTTCTGATAAATATTTTCTTCCTACAGCAGTTGTAAAAGTCTGTACCATCCTTATCACAACATGGAACTGTAGGTCAATATAGAATTATATTTAATTTAGGTCTGGGCCTAACATTCAAAGCATATTTAGGATTGATTGCATGCCTTGATATAGCTGATATTTAAGCATAGAATAATGAAGAATGCAAGGCAGTGGTGGGATTCACATTTTTTTACTACCGGTTCTGTGGGCGTAGCTTGGTGGACATGGCAGGGGAAGGATACTGTAAACTCTCCAGTCAGAGGTGGCACTTGCTGGTTCTCTGAACTACTCAAAATTTCCGCTACCGGTTCTCCAGAACTGGTCAGAACCTGCTGAATATCACCACTGGTGCAAGGTCCAGATTGAGAAAAACAAAATTTATTTACAAACATACAAGCATACTAACTCAGCATTTAGTTCTAGAAACGGCAAAGAGCCCTAATAAAAATATTACTTTGAAAAACAAGTTTGAAGTATATTACCATGTAGCTGGATTTATGCCCCACTCTGAGAAAAGCAGGGCTTAAATATTCAGACCAATAGCTGGCAAGGAGTTAACTGCATGTGGCTGTGGCAGGGCGGTCCAGTGAAGAAGGCAATAGGAAAAGGATGCAATCAGCTTCTAGGCACTTTTGGAGGAAGTGCTGATATAAGAAGCTGCATAAGGAAAAGTGTGTAAGAAGAAATCAAAATAATTTCCATTGAAATGGTAAGTACTCTTTTTTCCTAGCTATGTGACATAGCCCAAAGACTATGGTTAAATAGTCAAGGGATGGTGTAAGCTCCTCTCTGCAATAGCACTGCAATTGGGAAAAATCAGTGTATCCACTTTAAAGGACTCATTGTTCTCATTAGAAGAATGCATTAAAGCATTTTGTCTAGATCTAGGGTCTTCAAACTTGGCAAATTTAAGACTTGTGGACTTCAACTCCCAGAATTCCTGAGCTAACATGATTGGAGGAGGAGTTCTGGGAGTTGAAGTCCACAAGTCATAAAGCTGTCAAGTTTGAAGACCCCTGGTCTAGATACATGCAGTCAATTCTGCAGCTATGATTCTAAGTATGTGAAATAGGGGCTGGGGAGAAATGTGACTGAACTAGGACTATCCTGAACAGCACAGAATACAATTATAATTAGACAGATGTGTATTGTTATGCACCTCTAGGTTATACAGTTGGATGGTAATCAATATGACTTATGTATTTATATGCATAACCAAATTGGAATGATCTGATCCAACTGGAAAATATTATATTAGATTTAACTCTGATTTAAGTTTAAAAACCATATTCAAATTCATTAATAACAAATATAGGAGTAGTAACTAGAAAAGCCTGAAAATTTGGCTCTGCTGCTGCCTTGCCTGTGACATTGGGGATGGCTGATGGTGTAGAAAAGTTCCTCACAGATCTGCAGAAGGAAAACAGCAAGTTCTCAGAGAGAACTAAAACGTTTAACAATCTGGATTATGAATGCCAGATACCATAGATAGTACAAAGATCAGTATAACAATACATGAGATACTGACTCAACCTTTATATTGGAGCAAACATATGATTACTTTATAGGAAATACATAGCCTACCATCTTCATAATATGGATCAAGTTGAGCTAGAATAAACAAATTTTTTTCTTAAACTTGATTCTATAACTTAAGATACTATAAACTATGAATTGTCCATGATGAACCTGCAATCACACAATAATAAGGTGGGTTATTCTGGTCCTATAATTTTAATCCCGAATCCTCTAAGTTATATTAATGATCTAGCTGGGTTAGGTGATGATGTTGCAAGAAACACAAAGCTATAAGAAACCAGAGTGGAGTCAATCTTTTGAGAGATGGGAAAATTTATCCAGCAGATTAAAGTGAACAAGGGGCTCAGTGTGCAAAATTTGTTTCAGTCAAAATCTGAGCTAGCAGTGCTTCAGGCAGGCCTTAGGAGAGATGTGGCTAAGATGTTAACTGAATATGGACTTTTGAAGTTGATTGAGGCACACTAAGTATGACTTCTTGAGATCTAATAGAACTCACTCAATGTATTATTCCAAGAGATATTAGAAGTCAGTGCTTAGATACTTTAAGTCCTTAACAGACTCTGCATCACAGAGGTTTGATATAATGAAATTATCAAGCTGAGAAGATCAATGGACTTGGTCAATAGATATTCTGGCTAATTTATTGCAGAACCTGCCATGAGGGATGGAGTGAAAGACCACCTTTAAATCAATAAAGGCAACATAGGCCACTTTAGAAGTGCTAAAGTATTTTTCAGCTAAATAGTATAGAATTGGACATTGCTCCTTGGCAGTGGTGGGATTCAAATTTTTTTACTGCTGGTTCTGTGGGCGTGGCCATGTGACTGAGTGGACATGGGGTGTATTTTTTTGCTATTTGCTTTTTGCAGCACCATCATCACCCCAGTTTTTTGGGGCTTCTGGGCCTCAGAGAAGCCTCCTGGGAGGGAGCGTTTTTGCTCCCAGAAGGCTTCCCTTGGGCTCAGGAAGGCAGAAAATGGAGCATGGGGGAGCACAGCATCCCCCGATTCATTTTGGGGCCTCCCTGGGCCTCAGGGAGCCTCACGCTTCGTTTTTGCCTTCCTATGCTTCAGGGAAGCCTCCTGGGCAAAGCAGTAAGTAAGTGAGGGGAATCCTGACACAGTTGATCTTAGGAACAGCTGATTGTCAGGAGAGAGAAAAAAAGAAATACCTTAAGGAGTGACTAGGCGGGCGAGCATCAGGCGGATGAGGCAGGGTGAGCAAACATCGGGTGGGTGGGGCAAGTGAACAAGCATGATTGAGTGACCGGCTTGGGGGCATGGCCAGCCAGAAGTTACTACCCGTTCAGCAACCCAGTGCAAACCGGCTGAATACCACCACTGCTCCTCGGTAAAGCATCCTGATCTAAAGCTTGTTTGTTCAGTAGTCAAGATATTCTCTGAGTGTATCTAATCAATGAATGTTGTAGAAATCTATAATTTATTAATAAAAACGGAGGCTGCTGGACTTCCATTAATTTATTTGGACCTAAAGAACATGACTGAATAGTAATGTTTATTTTTCATCCACAGTCTTTGGTCAATGGGCAGTTCTGGTACAGATGGGGAAATGACTGCTTTTTGCTTACTATTATTAGTTGGGGTAAGTAAGTTATCTTTAAACTTAGAGAAAATAACATTTTCATTTTATGCAACGAAATGTACAAACTATGCAGTAAAAAGAGAACCAACTCTAGGTTAGAAGTTGTGTAACCAAAATGTATTTGTGGCTGGCTTGATTATGATATGGGCACCATTCCAGAAAAAAATAGTATATTGCGCTGGAAATCATTTTAAACCAGATGTTTTACTTCTTATTATCAGGGACAATTTCCTGAAATGGTCACAAGTAGCATGCAATCTTTTAGAAAGCAAAGTCTTCTTTCCCATAATTATCAGAAAAAAATTCATTAATACAAAATCTTATGTGCTATTTTCTGAGTTCAAAGTGGTTTTGATCAGAATAAAATGATATTTAAATTTTAAAAATTAAAAGTTTACAAAGAAGTAGCTGTTACTGTTTTGATTTTAAAAAATCAAATATAAGGCTCCTTGGTGCTCTCTGAGCTTGGTGGCTTTCTTGCAGGTATTTCATTACCCGAACTATCTAACATCATCAGTGCAAATAAAGCATTTTTAAAAAAATGCTAATGCCTAACAGTGGTTTCATAGGAGTGTTAAAAATCTATACACTAATTTAAAAAAAACCTTTCCTATAACTTTTAAGTGGGAAAAAAAATGCAACACAGGGCAAAACATTTTGAATCAAGGGATGTCAAATGAGCTAACTTACAGAATGCCAAAATGTCAAAAATGTCAAAAATCTGAGTTCGGGGATTCCTGTGGAATTGAAATCTGACAAATACAGAAAACATTTTATGACATAAAAATGATCCTAAAACAGTTTTTGATGTAATACAAGATGTCATAAAAGATTTTCCTGCACTGATGTTTTACTGTGTGCTGTATAATTCAACATGGGATATTTTAAAGGCAGCTACACCTCTAAATGTCTCGTAGCTTTTCCAGTGGTTCCCAGTACATTGAAGGCATTGAGGAGAGAGGAAATATATCTGAAAGGATGACCCAAAGAATGGATCACGGTTGTCTAGTTGAATAATAAAAATAGAATGCTTATTTATTTTATTCAGAGACAAATTGATCTCTGTTTTCTAATAAACTAAGGATAGTCATTTTACTTTATTAAAATAATATTTAAAACCAGGGGTGGGATTCAAATTTTTTAACAACGGGTTCTGTGGGCATGGCTTAGGTGGTGGGCATGGCTTGGTGGTCATGTGACTGGGTGGATGTGGCTTGGTGGTCATGTTATTGGCTAGGTGTGGCCAATTCAATATCACTCACGTTGAGGCACGCTTCTCCTCGCCTGGCCTCTCATGACTGTGGGGATTAACAGAGAGGCAGTTTCTGTAAGCAACACCAGAATGCTTCCTTCCTGCCTTCCTTACAGGAGTAGGCCAGTAATTTCTTCTAACAACCAGTTCTCCAAACTGCTTAGAATGTTAACAACCGGTTCTAACGAATAGGTGCAAACTGGTAGAATCCCACTCTTGTTTAAAATCATATAAAACAATTGATTGTAGATTTCATAGATTTTGACTTGCCTAGTTACATACATTGCATACTAGATTTTTTTCAAATCTAAGGAAGGTTATGAAGAACAGATATAAGGCACGAAACTGAAACATTACACAAGTCTGATCTATTCACATTTGAGTAAAGAATTGTTAATTAGAGATAATTCCTTTGTAAGTGATGTGTTCCTCCCTTAAGAAGTTTTAATTGCCAGAAACTATTAACAGCAATTGTTTTATATTATTTCAGAAAAATTTCACTTGTTGAACTCCTGTCATTTAGCAATTATTAGGATCAAAAAAGTACTAAATCGCTCTGCGCTTTTCAGGGTAAAGATAGCCTTGCGGTCTTTAAATGGCCTGGTATATTATTATTTTCAATAATATTAATACAGTTGTATTAAAAGAAGCTTCTTCTTTCCTGATGCTATTTATTCCTCTGGCAGGACTCCTCTTTCATGTGGATGCCTGGACTTACCACTATGGGGCTGAATCAGACCTATCCTGGAAAGACGCTCGGACATTTTGCCAGACCTGGTATACTGACCTGGTAGCAATCCAGAACAAAGAAGAAATTGCCTATCTCAATGACAACTTACCAAAACATTCAAAGTACTACTGGATTGGGATCCGGAAAATAAACAATATCTGGACATGGGTAGGAACCAGAAAAGCCCTGACCAAAGAGGCAGAAAACTGGGCTTATCGGGAACCTAACAACAGGCTGTCCAACCAAGACTGTGTTGAGATTTATATTAAGAGGGACTTCGAAGCTGGAAAATGGAATGATGAGCCTTGTGGGAAGAAGAAACGGGCACTCTGCTATAAAGGTAGTGAAATATTCCTTATCGAGTAGTTATAAGAGTTTCTATATACTCCTCGCAACTGGCTGACAAACCATACTCAACAAATAGTCCTTAATGAGTCTAAGTCTACATGGAGGGAAGTAAGCAGTAGAGTGCCACAAGGTTCTGTCTTAGGCCCAGTAGTCTTCAATACCTTCATTAATGATTTAGATGAGGGAATAGAAGGGGAACTTACCAAATTTGCAGATGATACTAAGCTGGCAGGGATAGCTAACACCCAAGAAGATAGGTTTAAGATCCAGATGGATCTTGAGAGACTAGAACACTGGGCCGTATCTAACAAAATGAAATTCAATGTAGAGAAAAGTAAAGTCCTACACTTAGGCAAGAAAGTACCCATATAGACTGGGTGAAACCAGGCTCAATAGCAGTAACTGTGAGAGGGATCTTGGAGTCTTAGTGAACAACCAGCTAAATATGAGCCAGCAGTGTGCAGCAGCAGCAGCCAAAAAAGCTAATGCAATCCTAAGTTTATTAACAGAGGGATACAATCAAGATCAAGGGAGGTACGAATACCACTCTATAAAGCCTTAGTACACCTAGAGTACTGCATCCAGTTTTGGTTACTACACTATAAAAAAGATGCTGAGACTCTAGAAAAGGTGCAGAGAAGAGCAACCAGGATGATTAGGGAACTGGAGACTAAGGCATATAAAGAACAGTTACAGGAACTGGGCTTGGCTAGTCTAGTGAAGAGAAGGACCAGGGGAGACATGATAGCTGTCTTCCAATATTTGAGGGGCTGCTGCAGAGAGGAGCGGGGCGTCAAGCTATTTTCTAAAGCACCCTAAGACCAGACAAGGAATAATGGATTGAAACTGAGCAAGGAGAGATTTAACCTGGAAATAAGGAGAAACTTTCTGACAGTGACAACAATCAACCATTGGAACAGCTTGCCCTTGAAAGTTGTGGGAGCGCCATCACTTGAGACTTTCAAGAAGAGATTGGACTGCCATTTGTCAGAAATGGTGTAGTGTCTCCCGCTTGGGCAGGGGGTTGGACTAGATGACCTATAAGACCCCTTCCAACTCTGATTATCTGTTATATGTTATCCGTTTGCCTGATGTACTAGCTTGGGATTAGTTTGGGCATGATTGACCCAAGTCAGTTTTCTGGGATTGTTTGATGTGTTGAACTATAAATTGACAGCATAAGCTGAGTTCCCCAAAATGCTAGGTCAACATTTGTTTGGGTAAATTTGTGGTGCACTGTCTTGCATGAATATAATCTTAGCTAATGTTAGGCACAGGGAGATAGACTGCAATGAAATTTAAAGTATTTTGATTTTAAGTTTGTCCATAGTTGGAACTGCAGCTTCAAATAATCCACCAAGATAAGATTAAACAGATATGATCTTAGAACATTACAATTGTTCATATCCAAGTAACTTTTTTTTTCAATGAAAGAGATGCAGAGTTTCCTGCTATCAGAATTATAATGAGTCCCATGCTTGTCCGGTTCCTCATGGTGCAGAAAATCCAATTACAGGCAACAAGATAATAACTGGGAAATTAGAATTTGCACCTCTAAAGTCATAGAACCCTGGGGAAAAAATACTAGGGATCCAGAAATCAACTTTGCATTCTCTTAAACTATAAAAATGATCATATGAAGATAATCCATAATTATTATACACCTTTGCTCTTAGGGCATATTTGCATTTATGATTGAAGTTATTCCTGTGTTGTGCTTATGGCTACTTAAATTTAAGCTGGATCAAGAAACTTGTCAAGACTAAAAGGCTCTAAAACAGCTTGCAAACCATTCAGACCAGTTGTAGGCTGTCACATCCTTCTAAAGGGCAATTCTTTGGCTGCTGTGTTATCTTCCTTTCGTTTCAGGAAAATATTCCTTTCTGGGCATATTTTTATGTGTTCATAAATATCAATCGAAAAAGATGCACAGATATAAAATGTATATGACTGAATATATAAAAATTCAAAATTAAAAGGTAGTGCTGAGTTTCAAAACAGCAACTTTTTCATACTAGGCAATGCTCTTAGCTATTGTGCTATTTTAATAGTGATTGTGAAGGTGAGAATACTCCTTGATTAGGCAGGGGTATCAAACTCAATCCCAACTCAATGTGGGCTGTATCAGGATTTTGTTTGCTCTTGGGGGCTGGGGTGGGCGTGGCCTGGTCATTGCAGCTGACTTGCCATGATGGCCCCACGGGACAACTCTGAGCCTATCGTTGGCTGGGCCGCCTGTTTGTCATGTCTGGATTAGAGCAACTATTGCTTCAGTTGAAGGAGCCTTTCTTCCTCTGGAAGGGCACTAGCCAATGGACTATTGAATTTAACCTGTAAGGAAGAAAAAGTCTCCACTAAAGAGAACAAAAGCAATCAAGGGGACCTTACGAGGAAAAGACTACTTTTCAGAGGAAAAGTTTGCTTGGTATGAAATTTGAAGTGGGAGATAGGTAATTCCTGGCACTGTTCATTTCTGCCCTCAAAAAATGGTCATTGTCTTTTCTGGGAAGAGCACAACTAGACAATGTAGATAGTATTCTGGTAACTCTGGTAACTAATAGAATGGTAACTCTGCCCATTAACAATCAAAACAAACAATTCATAAGGGTCATAAGAAAATCAATATCAAAATCAATATCAAAATCAATCACAACCAAACTACGTTGAACTTTCTTTTGTGGTTACTTCCAGATAAATATTGCAATCTCTACAGAAATGCTAGCAACACTATCTCATCACCAGCCATTCCATCTTCAAATAATTCCTGAATATATTTTGTCTAGTAGTTTTCGAAGCATTCTTTTTGATGTGGTTACATGGAATAGTTTGCAAGGGAAGAGTGATATTTGAAACTGTTACCAACTGTTAACACATTGACAATTCAACTTCTAAAAGGCTAGATTGGGATTGTGGGCAGGCTCTGTTATTCAAATCTGCAAACCCATTGAAGATTTTGCATGAAATTTATTTCAGGGTTTCTTCTACAATAGGCCAATAGAGATGGATCTGGAGGTGATGAGAAATGGAAAGTACTCTTCCAAAGAGAAAACAAATGTTCATGAGCATAGGTTAGGCTACTGGAATCCAATATACATATAGAACTGAAGTGAGGGAAGAAAAAAATACAGATTTATGAACTTTGGATTTACTTGGATTTAGTTGTTATAATGCAATCAAAAGAAAAAAGAGGAAATGATCCATCAAAGGACTCTAATATTCTTTGCTTTTTGTTTCATGGGTCTTGGTCCGTGTTTTAATAGAAGCTTGTCTCTCTTAGGAACTGAATTTGTTGTATCCATTAATAAGCATGGTGTTGAAAATTATTTCTGTAAAAGTAAACAATAAAACAAAAGGCACTTTTGAGTCAAAGAAAAAATTAACATTGAGAATTATCTGAAATATATAACAAAATATATATTGCATTTATTGAATGTATGATAAAGTTGACATCTAAAGAAATAGAAGTACTACAATATTGTACAAAGATGAAAGTTTTTTCGGTGTTAAGGTTTAAATAGGTGTATTCTTAGCATGAAAATTATAGACATAATTTGTCTATAATTTTAGGTGCTTCTGACACAAATAAAGAAGCATGAAAATGCTAGCAAGAGTTCAGTTGCTAATGGAATTTTCTAAAGAATGTTCTTGAACAAACATTCTGTTCTCAGGACAGAGAAATTAGAGAGGGTTGAAAACAGTAACATATTTTACTTGTTGTGATAGCCATGTCAAATATTGTCTTTTATACCATAGTTATGTATTCATATAGCACATTAATCTTTGATAGATGCAAGACTAGTAGTTCCACAATCTGATAGGAGTGAGTGGAAATGAAACAAAAAAATTGTCACCTTTTGATTTTCAGAAGTTACTAATTGAGAATGATTATTTTTATGGGTAAAATACTGATAATACATGCCAAAGCCCCCTGTTTATCTTAGTTTACCATCACTTTGATATGGTAGAATTACAATGGATCCCATTTGTGAATGATCACCTGTTGGATTGTATGCAAGAGAAATTAGTCATAAGATTCTTGTATCTGTCTTACAGTCCGATATAAGTTATTTCCCTTTTATTGACATGACTTTTTCTTCCAAAAGAAATCTTGTAATTGAAAGAAATCAAAAATGTTTTAAATCTCTAGTATGTTCATGACAAGAGACAGTTTGGTGTAGTAGTTAAGGCATCAAACTAGAGACTGGGAGACTGTGAATTCTCGTCCCTACTTAGGCACGAAGCCATCTGGGAGACCATTGGCCAATCATTTTATCTCAGCCCTAGGAAGGAGGCAATGGCAAATCATTTCTGATAAATCTTGCTAAGAAAGCTTCAGGGACATGTCCAGGAATTGGACATGATTGAATGGAACAATAAAAAATCTCACTATGTAATGCTAATCCAATTCTATGTTTTATACAGCTTCTTGTCAACCTTACTCCTGCAACAAACGTAGTGAATGCGTGGAGACCATTGGGAACTATACCTGCCAATGCTACCCTGGTTTCTATGGCCCTTTGTGTGAAAATGGTGAGTCTGTTGGAACCAATGACATTTTCTTTCTATTGTGATTAGGTGGTATAGAGGCAGTGATCATAAGGGGTGGGGGGAGGCATATTCTCAGCAAGGATAACAGAAATAAGTATTTTGGTTTCCATGACACAGTACAGATACAATCAATATGATTCCCTCGTGCAAGATCAAACTACATGAAAAATGTCACGTCCACTTTGGTCCTCAGTCTTTAAAGCATTACAAGCATTCTATTTCAGCTCTATTATTTCCTCTGGGGGATAGGCTGAACAGCCTCCCAGTTATTTTTCCAAGAAGACCTTGGTCACAAAGGGAAAAAAAAAATGTTTTCTCTTTGGTGAGTGGGAACTCCTATGTTATGGTTTTTGTTTAGTGTTGATGAAGCCTATTGCTTTTATTTGAAACAATATTTAAAGGAATTCACTGTGCTAACATTCTGAAAAACCCTGCAAATAGCATCAGTCAAGCTGTATCAGTTATATCATAGGGGTGCAGTGGGGGAAGAGAACATGGATTTCTATGGTTGGCACTGAATAATCAGTTGAATTTCTTTTTAGGGATCTTCAAGTCTGATAATACATCAGAACTTTAAATTATTAAATGTAACAACAACATATATTTTTCTATTAAGTTATTTGCAAGCTTAATGAAAAAATCAGTGTCTTAAAGAAATGTCATTCTAGCCACACTGAAAACAGGACAGGACACCTCAAGCAGTTTTTCCTTAGCAACATGGATTGTGCTTCCTCATACTGCAGGTTGGGTTTATAGGCCTAGGCCTTAGGGTAAAGATTGTCAAGAAGTGCCC